ATTGTGACTATTGATAAGTAGTGACTTTGCCCTGCCATTTTCCCAAAGATATTTTCTAGTATATGCTTTGAGCTTCCTATGATCTTTTACTGGTAGGTGTAACCATGATTCTTAAAGGCCAAAAGTTTGAAAGATGGCAAGGATAACACAATACTGCTATTTTAGCCACTTTGTTTAAATAGATCAGTATATATTATTAGATTAGATTATATGTAGTTATATCTATTATATATATTATAATTAACGTTTTCATTTTGTATCATTATTTCTTATTTCTGTCCCATTTTTATCTATATTTGACAAATATATCCCCTTTTATATTATGATTGAAAAAGTATCCGAAAATTATAAGATCAAAACCATTTTACAGATAAATTAGAAGATATGGATATTAAATGTTAAGGAAATTGTGTTTTGAAATATCAGAAACAGAATATCTCAGGGTAGGAGAAGGAAATGAGAGCAAAGACTCTTTTATGGTTTCAGCCTGTGACTATATCATGCTCTTCTGTGCAACAAGCAGTCAAGAAATATGGAAATATCCCAAGTTACCAGAACTGACAAAGCTAAGGCTAGGATTTATGAGATTCACATTCAAGTTATAGGATTGAATATATGTTTTGTTCAGGTGGTATGCTAGCTACATTAACATTTATTTATTTATTTAATTTTTTACATGAAAAAATTTAATACTCAAGAGTCAGTTATTCAAATAATGGCCATATATGGCATGGGTTTTTTTCGACTTTTATTTAATAAATATAAATTTCCAAAGTACACCCTTTGAATTATAGCGGCTTTCCCCCCATAATCTCCCTCCCACCCGCAACCATCCCATCTCGCACTCCCTCTCCCATCCCATTCTTCATCAAGATTCATTTTCAATTATCTTTTTATACAGAAGATCAACTTAGTATATACTAAGATTTTGACAGTTTGCACCCATGCAGATACACAAAGTATAAAGCACTGTTTGAGTAGTAGTTTTACCATTAATTCTCATAGTACAACACATTAAGGACAGAAATCCTACATGGGGAGTAGGTGCACAGTGACTCCTGTTGTTGATTTAACAATTGACACTCCTATAATAAACACTGTTTAAAGCTAAAATATGCATCAAAAGGATTAAGATGCCAACAGGCCAGAGGCAGAAAAATTTGAATCAAGTTGGCTAGAGAAAGAGGTATGCTAATGGTATAAAATCAGGAAAAACTGAAAATGACAGCTAGAGGAATATTTGGAGGAATTAAAACAGGAGCCTGAAGCCTAGGACAGCCGTGACTCACTAATAGGAAGAATCTTCAGATGAGTTCTAGGCAAACCACTAATGATGCCTTAATCCTTATCTGAATACCTGGGTTCAATGCCTGGCTCTACTTCTTCTTCTTCTTTTTTTCTTTATTTTTTTTTTTTTTGACAGAGTGGACAGTGAGAGAGAGAGACAGAGAGAAAGGTCTTCCTTTTGCCGTTGGTTCACCCTCCAATGGCTGCAACGGCCGGCGCACTGCGGCCGGCACACCGCACTGATCCAATGGCAGGAGCCAGGTGCTCCTCCTGGTCTCCCATGGGGTGCAGGGCCCAAGCACTTGGGCCATCCTCCACTGCACTCCCAGGCTACAGCAGAGAGCTGGCCTGGAAGAGAGGCAACTGGGACAGAATCCCTGACCGGGACTAGAACCCGGTGTGCCGGCACCGCAAGGTGAAGGATTAGCCTAGAGAGCCACGGCGCTGGCCTGGCTCTACTTCTAATTCCAGCTTCCTACAAATGTGCAACCTGGGAATAGCAGGTAATGGCTCAAATAGTTGGGTCCCTGACATGTATGTAACAGTCCTAGATGGAGTTCTAATCTCCTGGCTTCAGTCTGTACTAGCCCTGGCTGTTGTGAACATTTAGAGAGTGAATGAGACGTATCTGCCTGCCTTTTTTCTTCTTCCTCCCTGTCAAATAAATAAATAAAAAAGAATGCTTATATTGAAGATAATAGTGATAATAATCACGATGATGATCTGTGCTTATTGATCGTATGCAATGCTGCATTAAATCTACAGGTCCACACAATATAGGAATAATGTAACTTTTTTTTTTTTTTGACAGGCAGAGTGGACAGTGAGAGAGAGAGACAGAGAGAAAGGTCTTCCTTTGCCGTTGGTTCACCCTCCAATGGCCGTCACGGCCGGTGTGTTGCGGACGGCGCATCGCGCTGATCCAATGGCAGGAGCCAGGTACTTATCCTGGTCTCCCATGGGGTGCAGGGCCCAAGCACTTGGGCCATCCTCCACTGCACTCCCTGGCCATAGCAGAGAACTGGCCTGTAAGAGGGGCAACTGGGACAGAATCCGGTGCCCGGGACTAGAACCCGGTGTGCTGACGCCGCAAGGTGGAGGATTAGCCTAGTGAGCCTCGGTGCCGGCTGGGATAATATAACTTTTGTGATTGGTCAAAATGCCAGCTTTATTGTAATTATACTGAGGAATGCCGTGGATCCTATGAATCAGCATGAATCTTAATGAAGTTCTTAAATAGGTTTCCATCAAAATTAGATTCTCCCACCAAGACACTGTAACAGTCCAAATATCCACTCTAATTTAGAAGAGAAGAAAAGGAAGATGAATCTGTGCATCCAACCTTTTTTCTGTCTTACAAGTAGATACAAACTCTCTTCCTTTGAAGATTGGAAGTGAGGAGTAGAAGGAATTCTAGTTAGAAATTGCCTTTGGGCCAGCGCTGCAGATCACTAGGCTAATCCTCCGCCTTGCGGCGCCTGCACACCGGGTTCTAGTCCTAGTCGGGGCGCCGCATTCTGTCCCAGTTGCCCCTCTTCCAGCCCAGCTCTCTGCTGTGGCCAGGGAGTGCAGTGGAGGATGGCCCAAATCCTTGGGCCCTGCACCCCATGGGAGACCAGGAGAAGTACCTGGCTCCTGCCATCGGATCAACGCGATGCGCCGTCCGCAGCACACCGGCCGTGACGGCCATTGGAGGGTGAACCAACGGCAAAGGAAGACCTTTCTCTCTGTCTCTCTCTCTCACTGTCCACTCTGCCTGTCAAAAAAAAAAAAAAAGAAAAGAAATTGCCTTTTACCACTTGTAACAGAGATTCCAAACACATATTTTGAGTATAATGATACTTTCCACCCTACCCTCCCTTTCTCCCTCACTCCTATACGCCCTCCTTCATCTTTTCTTATTTTTCTTTAATTTGTACAATGTCATATGGGAAGTATTCTTAAGACTGTTCTCAGGATAGTTTCCTTATTAAAACATTTATAAAGGCAAATGGAAACCCACTTGTATACTTCTGATATCCAAAGTTCAGAACAGCTGAGCAGCTAAACCAAATGTGAATTTACCTTCAAAACTAAAATTGACTAATTTAAGAACTCAGTGTCTTAAACATTTGCTAGTACCTTTCTTTTTCTAAATAGTTAGTTAAGGAGCTGCAGATTGTAAATGGATAAATAAGTAGTTAGATTAATGGCAAGGGGGTACTGAACTACAAAGATAGCCCTACCTTCATGTTTACAGTGATAAGAAGTCAAAATCCTGTTTTGACTCAGAAAAGTTAAAAACTAAATTGTTCTCAAGAATATATTTCTGGATTGTGTGCATCAGAATCATTTGCCAAATACTTTGGGAAGGAGCCAGGTAACTGCATTACTGTCAGTTTCAAAGAGCATTCTTATATCCATACTGAAGCTTGAGAGCAACTCAAAGGATGAAGTTAGTTCCATATGAGTATGGAAACGTCCTTGATGGAGGTAGTGTTCTGACAGGTTGTTGGAAAACAGTGAATATTTAGAAACATGGAAATAAAATTGAACATGGAGGACATGGATATGAGCAGTGTCATGGAGAGAAGCAGATGGCATAAAAGCCAAAGGACACAGAGAGCTAGAGGTAATTGAAATAAATGAGAGACCATCATCATTGACAATGACAGAAAACAAAGAGAAAACACAGGTCTCAGAGGTAAACATGTAGGGAAATTGTTATCACTGGCCAGCAAGAATATAGAATATGTATGATATTCAGAATAAATATATATATATACACATATATTTGTGTGTGTATGTGTATGCATATATGCAACTACATCTGCAAATCTTACTCAGCTCATTTCACACACTATTCATAGGTTATTTGGTTGATATGGGAAAAAAGCAAGATAAAACCCTGATATACCACTGGGGCACCTGCAAAAGAAGCTTCATGGGCAGAAGAAATAAGGGCCTCCATGAGAAGAGTTATTCACAGGCAAATGTGAACCTTTCCAGAGATTGTTTCCAACTAGAATCCACAATGTGTTCAACCTCATTCACATTTTTTAGACCTTGGTCCATATAGTTGTTAACATGTACTTATTTAATGAATGTCAAACTATGTGGAACAAAGGAAATATTTATTAGTGAATGTGATTAAATATTACACTTAACATTGATGAAAAATTTGGAGCAGCTGTAGAGATAATTTGCATAACCTTGGCAGACAGAACATTCAAATGCCCTTTTCTAAATAATGTTTTCTAAATAAATCACTATTCATTCTTTGACTGTTTATGCCATTAACATTAAAACATAGGGTGTCTCACTATCTCCCTAAATGTGTATTTATGAAATACACAAAGTTTGTATACCATAAATAAAAGGTTTCTGAGTTAAAAAATAAGAAATGTATCTATGACGTATACTTAATTTATTAAAAACTAAAAAAAAGAAGAAAAGAACAAAACAAGAAAAAAGAAATAAAATGAGAAACATGTTTGCAATATATGACCTTAGGTCAATTTTGTTGGTAGATGATTATCTCTCAAAGGTCACAGTAAAAACTAATCCCAGAATAAAGATGAAGTGAAGGCATACTAAGTGGTTGACGAAGAATTATAAATGGCAAAAAAAGTGAAAAAATGTTTAATTGTACTAGCTATTTAAAAATGCAAGTTAAGGGACCAGTGTTGTGGCATAGCAGATTAAGCCATCCCTGCAACACTGGCATTACTTACAGGTGCTGGTTTGAGTCCTGGCTGCTCCACTTCCTATCCACTGCCCTGCTCATGGGCAGATGGAAGTTCTCCGTCTCGTCTTTTCTCTCTGTAACTTTGCCTTTCAAATAAATTAAAATATCAAAAAAATCCAAAACATTTTATAAATGAAAGTTAATAATAAAAAAGAGTAATTTGATAAATTAAAAAGCAATTTAATAATTCTTAGAAACATTTATACAAAGATTGTGTAATGAACAATTCCAAACGAACTGGTGGTTAGGTAGAAATTGAAAAACTTGAGTAAACATAGATTTAGTTAGAGAAAAATTAAGTTATTCAGAGGCATGTATTGAACATGACATACAGAACTATTGAATATTCTTAGAAACATCAATTTTCTCTTTATTTTAATGTACTGTATTTAACATAGACTTGCATACTTAAAATTTGGTGTATGAATTGTATCTTATTGTTGGAATGATAACCAGACAGTATTGATAAACTTTTACTTTCATTTAGTTTGAATATCCAAACCTGGAAGAAATGAAATTTTTGAATGCAGTATGATGCTATCTGATCTGCCTTTGAATATGTGTATAGCTTGTGCACTTTATAGTATTACTAATATTTTTAAACTTGATCTCAGCCATATTGTTTTTACTTATTTGAAAGTTAAAGTTACAGAGAGAGAGGGAGGGAGAGAGAGAGAAAAAAGGGAGGGAGAGACAGAGAGAGAGGGAGAGAGAGAGAGAGAGAGAGAGAGAGATTCTATCTACTGGTTCCCTCCCCAAATAGCCACAGCAGCCTTCTGCCAGGTCTCCTACATGGGTACAAGGCTTCAAGCACTTGGGCCATTTTCCACTGCTTTCCCCAGGGGCCTTAACAGGAGCTGGATCAGAAGCTGAGCTGCAGGGACTCGAACCGGCACCCATATGGGCTGCTGGTGCCACAGGTGGCAGCTTTACTCACTAAGCCACAGTGCTGGCTCCAATATTACTACTTTTAAGATGTTCTGCTACTTGATTCTGCTTAAGTTTTTACCTAATTAGTTTTATTATGTAGTCACCAGTTCATGAGAAAATTTCACAGGTTTTGGCCATTAGGATAAGGTAAATTTGTATTTACTCTTTTTAAAATACTTAACTGTGGATTGGATAATTGAAACTTGTATTGAGTATTTAAATTTAAATAAATTGTAATATTAAGATAAAGAGAACAGCAGAGTAACTGACTTTAAAATCTTTTCAAATATTCACTTCAGGATAGTTTATTTACCTTCAGGTTTTAGATTTTTATTATGTCACTGGGAATATGGGCTTTAGCTTTGCCAGTACTTAAAAGAATAAATGTGTTATCTTTGTTGTGAAGATAAAATTTTACAGAATAAGTTCTCTCTAGGTCAAAATATAAGTCAACAAGAAATTCTTAACAAGTTACTTGTTATTGGCCTCACTCTCTCTGTAACATCTGGCTTGAGAAATAAGCAGGTTGATAAGCTTTGTGGTATAAATCTAAAATACCAGAAAGAATTCTCAGGTGTATATAAACAAAGATCAAGTTATTGTCAGTATTCAAACCATAGCACTCAAATAAAAACACAAGCACACACACTGGGGAAAGTAAGACATTGGAGCCACTTAGCTCTGAGTTGTTTTAAACACTGAGTCTTTAATATTTGTCTTTCAACTTGTTTGAAACTGCCTTTGTTCATTAAAAAGAATAACCCCTATTCGACTTGGTTGTAGAAATTAGAGGTAGCATACACAAAGCCCTTGTACAATTCTTCTCCATGTTTTGCATCTAAAATCATGTAGCCATTATTCTAAATGAGAGGATGATATAAGGTACATCCTTTAAATAGTCATAAGATATTGTGATTTCAGAATAAGAATTTCTGAAACCTTAGTAAACACATTATATATATTAAAATACTTGTAGTTAAGGGAAATTGCCTATTTCTTTTTAAACAATATTTTTATTTGAAAGGCAGAGAGAGGAGGGTGGTGCTGAGAGACAAGGAAGGAAGGACGGAGGGAGAGAGGGAGGGAAGGAAGGAGGGAAGGAGGTTAGGAGAAAGGGAGAAAGAATTATTTCCTATCTACTGATCTATCTACTCCTCAAATGTCCACAATGGCTAAGCCTGGGAGAAGCCATAACCGGGAAATCAATCTGGGTCTCCCATATGGGTGGTAAGGACCTAGCTGCTTGAGCCATCATCTTCATCACCTGCTGCCTCTCATGGTGCCCTTAACAGGGAGCTAGGATTGTGAGAGGAGCTAGTACTCAAACCCAAGTACTCTGATACAGGATGTACGGATCCCAAGCGTTGTCCTAACTACTGTGCCAAATTCCCACCCCACTTATTTCTAAGTGAGAAACAAAATGGAGCAATAAGCTATCTTTGGTAAAATTGATTAGTAAATCACCGTGGTATACAATCACTGTTGAAAATTTGACTTTTTTCTTCTTCAGTTCTTCCCATGTTTTTTGGAGACAAAAGTACTATAAATGAAATCATGGAAAAATAACACATTGTCCATTATAAATTTCACCCTAAGAGCTGTCACTTTCCTTCTCTTTTAAAAGGACTAATTTTTAGACAGAAGTACATAATTAGGAGCAAGAATAGATGTTTGATTATGTTTTTTTTTTTCTAATTGGACTTTTTCAACTTTAAATTCTTGTTCCTTTTTTCCAAAGGCAGTTAAGATATAAATATTGTTTGCAATCATGAAAATGACAGTTTGTACACTGAATTAGTTGCTTTTTAACTTAATAAATCAATTATTTTACAAAATAAATCAATTATTATATGAAGATTTTACACTCCAGAAGTTTGATCCTAATTCTATTCAATCTGTATCTGAACTTTTATAAGATACTGAAGCTCAGAGAAGATGCGAAACTGAGTGCAGATTCTGTATTCTAATGGGAGGAAATTAAGATGTTTTCCACAGTGTATTTGGCTTTAATATTTTCTCTACTATATTTCAACTTTGACAGTAGAAAAGGAGAATAACAGATTATGATAATTAGGAAATGGTGGCCAATGAAGCATAGTTCTACAGTGTTTCCATAATGCTATTTTAGTCTTTATACATTAATTTTTGTTACCTACAATAAGAAACATTTTGCATCAAAATCTAATTTCTTGCCTCTCTACAAACCAAAGAAACCAAAACAAGTAGCACCACCGGGCCCTATTGCACAGCACACACACACCTTGGAATTAGTTGAATCTAAGGTGGAGCACCTGCCTTTATCTATTTTTGAACGGTTTTCAAAAACTTTATGGGAAATGCTTATTAGGAAAAAACTATACATAAATTTCAAAAATTTTTCACCAAAAGAAAACACTTTTAAAATGTGACAATGCTCTCCCTGAGTCAGCTTCACTCAGTTTTGTTATCTGCATAGGTCCACAGGAGAGCATATGTGCCATGATAGTCCCCCAAAGGTCATTGGTTGGTGGAGCCTGAAAGCCCACAGAAAAGGGGGACTTTGTGTAAGCATGTATATATAACGGTCTTCCTAAGGTTCATGGGAAATGTGTACTATGAAAAACTGTGCATGGGTTTAAAAAAACCACTTACAGGCCGGCGCCGCGGCTCACTAGGCTAATCCTCCGCCTGCGGCGCTGGCACACCGGGTTCTAGTCCCAGTCGGGGTGCCGGATTCTGTCCCAGTTGCCCCTCTTCCAGTCCAGCTCTCTGCTGTGGCCCGGGAGGGCAGTGGAGGATGGCCCAAGTGCTTGGGCCCTGCACCCGCATGGTAGGCCAGGAGGAAGCACCTGGCTCCTGGCTTCGGATCGGCGCAGCGCCAGCTGTGGCGGCCATTTGGGGCGTGAACCAACGGAAAAAGGAAGTCCTTTCTGTCTGTCTCTCTCACTGTCTAACTCTGGCTGTCAAAAAAATAAAAATAAAAAAGCCACTTATAGCAAAATAAACTATGTTTCCATTTCATTTTCCATGAAATTTTAAAGTCACCTTATATGTTTACGTATATTTTTGCTTCAAATCCTCTTTAGACATGGACTTCCTGGGCCAGTGCAGATGGGAGAGTTTTCATGAGTCTTGATTAGGAATCAAAGTGGAGAACAAACATCTGAGGGCCTCTCCTCTTACTAAATCACACACTATATGTGGAAGAGATTTGGTTATTAATAATTTTGATGACCCATGTTTGGATTCTTACAATGATTATGGAACAGTCATACATGATGACTTAATTGTATTCCAAGTTCTGAGTCAGACTATTATGTCTTATATATATGCATTTATTCATCTACACATTGAATGATTTTATATAAATATTATAGCATTTGATGGAGTTATATACCTGACCTCATGGACAGAAATTTTGAGGAAGACAAATAACGAATAAGTAATAAAATGAATACTTCCCTCCCTGTGCATGATGTTTTAGGGGCTTTAAATGCAATGGCCAGAGGAGGACACTTGAGCTGAGAAAGAATGAAACACTGAGCTAGCTGAGAGAAAGAATCTCTAGGCAGAACGACCAACAAATGCCAAGGTCTTGAGGCTGAAGGGTTTTATCTCTCAGTTTTAGAGCCTGACAGCACTGCTAACATGATAGCAATATAATGAGTCAAATGAAGAACATGATGGCAGAGTGGGCAGACCATGGTGAAGTTTGATATGATAGTTGGAAACTCATTTAATCCTTCCTGATGGGCTTCTTAAATATCAGTCTTAGACTTCAAATCAGGCAGACTAACCACTTACTAGCTGTTGAATATTGGGCCTCATTTTAATCTTTTTTGAGTTTTAGAGATAATGGTACCCTCATCATAGAAGTCGCTGTCAGGATTACATGGGTTGTGCTATGCAGTGTTCTATGACAATCTCCAGCCCATAGTAAGATTTGCTCCATTAATTACAGATCTTATCACTGTATTTCACACAGTGTGGGATGAAAGTGCATTCTGTATTGTATCAACCTAGATTCTCATCCTTCTTTCACTGGAAAATTTATTTTAAAGACCATCATGATCAAGATCTACCTCTAAGAACTTCAGGAGGTAATGTATCTGAACTCTATCATTACTTCTGCCAACCTAAATCATCTGTTGTTATTCCTTGTTTCCCATGTCTAGCAATTGTTGACCATTTAAAAGATCTGTAACCCATGGGATCAGAGTCTGTCATTTAAGTCCCTGAATCTCAAGACAGCCTTCATATTCACCATCCTCTCCCCAATACATATCTTTCCCTTCCTTCCTTCCTTCCTTCCTTCCTTCCTTCCTTCCTTCTTTCCTTCTTTCCTTCTTTCCTTCTTTCCTTCCTTTCACAGGCAGAGTGGAGAGTGAGAGAGAGAGACAGAGAGACAGAGAGAAAGGTCTTCCTTTTGCCGTTGGTTCACCCTCCAATGGCCACTGCGGCTGGCACACTGTGGCCAGCACATTGCGCTGATTCGAAGCCAGGAGCCAGGTGCTTCTCCTGGTCTCCCATGTGGGTGCAGGGCCCAAGGACTTGGGCCATCCTCCACTACACTCCCGGGCCACAGCAGAGAGCTGGCCTGGAAGAGGGGCAACCGGGACAGCATCCAGCGCCCCAACCGGGACTAGAACCTGGTGTGCCGGCGCCGCAGGCGGAGGTTTAGCCTATTGAGCTGTGGTGCCAGCTCCCAATACATTTCTAGAGTTGGAGGAGAAGCACGAAGTATTTAAAGATGCTGCTTAAAAGGTTTTCAACAAAGATTGCAAGCAGGATATACATACTAGATAGTTATTGACCTTACTAAATGGTGATATGTGAGAAATTTAGGTTTTACAAACTTTACCTTTTGCTGAATGTGACTGGTTTGTGGGAAAGGAGATCGATCATGAAGCAAATGAATAAGGAGAGTTTATTGTAGCTATTAAGCAGACATTATATAGATATGAGAATTAAGAAGTGAGAAAAATCCATTTGAATTAATTTGATCAAAATAATTGTAACTACAACCATTATTAAAATGACCTATATCTGGCTAATGATCACATATATAAATGCTCTTAGGCATGCTCTTAATCATGGTAAGGAGCAGCTTTGTTTATTTCAGATTTTATATAATTACAGCAATGTAATACATTCAGTTATGCTTCAACTTCTTTTGCTCAAGTAGTAAGTCACCATCTATCAAAAGTGGAAATATAGAAGCTAGTACATGACCTTTAAAAACTCCTCTTATAACATCTAAATAAGGGCAAGGGAAATAGGAAAGGTTAAAAGGACCTTAAAATTCCTACATGAGAGTAACTATTGGGGAAGCAGATGAAATAATCATTTTCCTCCTTACTTCTGTAACTCCAAGAAATTCTAGGCATAAAGGGGCCTCATGTAGAAATTTCTGCTTATGGCAAGCTTCCTGAATCTAATACTGAAACTTTCATCAGGCCCTTTCGCTATATTAAATAAAGCACTATGTCTCTTTTAGGACTTTCTGAAGTCACTGCCGTGTGCTCTGTATGAGGGTGGCTAAGCTTAGGCAACTGATGGATGCGAATGGTTCTGCTCCCTGATCCCTGCACTGACTATTCTGTTCCAAGGATTAGGAATTTAACAAGGGCTTTAGAAACCCAGTTGTTCAGCTTTGCATCAAGCCTGTGCATGTTTCTGTTGAACATTTTTCATACTACTTTTAGGTAATTCAAGTTGCTTGAAACCTACAATGACAAGAGGAACAAATTTCTTGGTGCTTGATCATTGTTTTAACCTTGACAATTGTAAAAGTAGCTATCTATGTGTTTGAATGCAAAGTCCATAACTAGTGTAATGGTGTGCTCTAGGAGATCTGTAGAGCATCAGCCATCTTTGAGCGTCTGTACATATGGTATCCTGCATGGTAGGCAAGCAGTGACTTGATTATAGTGACTCTAAGATACACTGTGTCTACACTATCATGGAGTGTGGAGCATCATTGCCTTTGGGAAAACAACATAGGAAACAGTGAATTCTGTTTCCAAAAGAGAGTTAAATTAAATAGAAAACGTATTATTGCTCAACTGGTATAATAGGGACAAATATTTGCTTTCATGTTACCCTCTTCAGATCCTATTAAAAGAGGCCATGAGAAACATATAGTGGACCATTTTAAAAACTGAATTTAGCATAGTTTAATCCAAGCCAAAGTTTTAAAGATATACTTGTTAGAGTACACCCAGTTTTCCAGAGAAATTACCAATCATTTTGCCCAAGGGAAAGCAGTTTATAAAATTAGTTTAGATGCAGAGGTGGATAGAGATGGATGGCAGTGGGATACTGAAGTAGATTTAGAAGTGGAAGAGGTAGACTGTCTGTATGATAATGGTAAATCAACTTCTGTAGGCTTCAGGTGATACCCCTATGCTAAAATCACAGAATTACCTTGATGTAGAAAGGATACTAAGCATTTTGTGGACCAGAAAATAGTCAACTCAAGAAAGATATCACCTAGGGTCAGAAGAATTGGAATATTATTCTTAAGAAAGCCTATTAAAGATGTGGTAGTATTTTGACTCCTAATTATCCTTATTCATATATAGTTGACATCTCTCCTTAATGACAAAACTTTGAGAACCAAGAACAAAAAGATGCTAGTAGTATGATGTGTGTGTATGTGTATGTATTTATGTGTGCTTGTGTGTTACTATCTTGCTTATACATATAAGTATTTCAAAAACTGTGGTGAACTTAGTGGAAAGTCATGAAGAATTTGAAATGAGAAAATAGCATAGTTCTAGGTCTCTTTTTTTTTCATTTTAACCAAGAAATATTCATAAGCTTAAATGTAAGGATAAATAAAATTCCCTTTAAAAATGCCTGAATGAGCATATTTTTACAAAATAGACCTTTTGCTGATCTTTTCCAGCAGATGTGAGTGAGAGCCCTTCTAGAGTTGGCAAAAGTACAACTTTACGTAGACTTCTCAAATTAATTGAGAGAATGGACCAAATAGAAGAAAGGTAAATGACTGAAATAGGATATTAAGCCAATTGAGTTAATTTTTAGATAATTTTTTTATTTCCCCCAAATAAAGTATCAGATATTAAGGAAGAACACGTGTTTCCTTCAAATTATGAAAAAGCTGAGGTATTTTGGTGAACTCCTAGTCACCCTGATTAATTTTGCCTCAGAGCTTTGAAATATGTAATAACACAAATTTTATTGGTGCTAAAATATACCAAATTTATCTTTACAAGAGCTAGCCAAGAAATTGTCTTCACTGACATAATTTGTTTTTGAAAAACAAATGTGAATATTTTAATACAAAATTAAAGAGTGATGATTTTAAATATACATAATTATATATACATTTCAACAAATACAAATCACAATATTTTATGCTTTTGGAAGTTTAAGTAAATTTCAAGATTCAAAATTCCCTAAGCTGATAAAGAGTTGATGGAGTGGATATTAGCCACAAAGGTTTAAAAGCCACTTGAGATACCCATATCTCATGTTGGAATGTCTGTGTGAGTCCTATCTTTGCTTCCAATCCAGCTTTGTTCAAAAGTATACCTTGGAAGGCAGCAGGTATGGCTCAAGTACTTGAGTCCCTGCCACCTGTGTGGCCGATTTGCATTGAGTTCTGGACTCCTGGCTCTAAACTGGCCCAGTTCTGACTATTTCAGGCATTTAGAAAGTGTGTCAATGGGTAGAAGAACTCTGGCTATCTCCGTCTCTGTCTGTCTGCCTTAAAAATAAAAGAAAGAGGCTGGCGCCGCGGCTCACTAGGCTAATCCTCTGCCTGCGGTGCCAGAACCCGGGTTCTAGTCCAGGTCGGGGTGCTGGATTCTGTCCTGGTTGCTCCTCTTCCAGTCCAGCTCTCTGCTGTGGCCCGGGAAGGCAGTAGAGGATGGCCCAAGTGCTTGGGCCCTGCACCCGCATGGGAGACAAGGAGGAAGCACCTGGCTCCTGGCTTCCGATCAGCGCAGCGCGCTGGCCGTATTGGCCATTGGGAGGGTGAACCAATGGAAGGAAGACCTTTCTCTCTGTTTCTCTCTCTCACTGTCTATAACTCTCTCTCTGTCTCTCTCTCTCTCTCTCACTGTCTAACTCTACCTGGCAAAAATAAATAAATAAATAAATAAATAAAATTTTAAGAATTAGTAAGTTTATGAGTTGTTTTTATTTTAAAGAATGTTGCTTGTTCTGTTTTTTAGAAAGGTCTTTTTATCTGAGAGGGAGAGAGAGAGAGAGAGACTCTGTGTGTGTGTGTGTGTGTGTGTGTGTAGAGAGAGAGAAGTGGGGGGTGGAAGGAGGGGTCCTATCAGCTAACTCACTCCCCCAAAGCCC